AGCTGTGTTACCACTTCAGTGCATCCCAGCAGCTAGGACGATGCCGGAACAGAAGACAGGAGAAGGGGAGCAGGTCATCCTGGGATTTGGGTGGGATGAGTCATTGAGAAGGCGGTGAGGCTGCCCCCTCGTCCTGTACTCAGGAGGTGATAGCGTAGATGGTAGGTGCCCGTGTTGAGCCTGTGCGAGAATTTCAGGCAGAACACCTACCACCTTATTTCTGAGCTTGAAAAACTGCCTGCTTACGGTGAAAGGTTATTCACAAATGGTTACTGTGTCTCCTTTAAAGCCGCAGCGCTTTCCTTGTGCCATTTAAAATCCAGGTTGTGGCTGGCCGTCTGCAGTTCGAGAAGCAGGATTTCTTACACCGTGTTGACCTCTTTCTTTGTTGCTCCAGGGGTGGGCTGCTATTGAGTGGATAATTGAAAATTCTGAGCACGCTGTGAGCTAACGGGGTCTGCACCTGCACCTTGTGATGAACAGTGGTAACTATGGTATTCTTTAACCCGGTAGAGAACCTAGCATCTTGCTAACCGTGTGCATGGTGTGCAGTGGGGGGTGTTTACAGGTGCAGCTGCATGTGTCTCCAGCCCGGCGCTCCTTAGTCTTCTGTAATGGAAGCAGTCATTAGTTCATCCTCTTCCTAAATTATCTTGTTTCATGGCAGGATTTATTTCCCAGGAAGACTTGATCATTTGTTATCTGGTCTCAGACAGAGACAGTTCAGATTTTCCCAAGCCATTCTCAGGACCTGCTTGCTTAAACATTTCCTGTCGTTAGTGCGTTATCAGAAGGAGGCTTTCACTAGTAGTTCCAGACGGTGTCAAAGGCTGATCAAATGGGAGAATTTTTTCATTTTGGGCAGGGTCTGAATATTTGTACATGTTCTTATAAAGAATGCTATGTGCCTTTGTGTCAGCGCTGCGGGCTCGGGGGGAATCCTGCTCCTCGCCTGCTGCCAGCCAGCACCCAGCCACGTGACTGCCGCTGGCTTTTTTCTTTTAGTGGCAGAAGCCATTTCTAGCATCTTCTTGAGCTTCACAAACATTCCTTGATTTCCTAGGCCACCAGTGACTGGACCGTCAGGAAGGGATTTGACACTTAATTGGTCGGCAGTCATCTTCATACTTCGTAGGAAAGTCAGGGTTTCCTGCTTCCCTCTGTTTAGGGAATCCTTATACTCCTGCCTTGAAACCCCTCACCCTATTGACTTTCCATACTGTGCTGCTCTGGGCCCCGCTTCCCACGGTTGGTCTGTCTGTGTGTCTGCAGCATGTGTGTGTCAGCAAATGGGGATAGTGTGGTTCAGCCTCCTTTAAAAGCTTCCTACTGGAGCCTAAGTTTGCCAGAGCCCTTCACCTTGAACCCAAGGTTGTGATCTGCCGCTGGGTCTCTCTTCTTCCATGGACGCACCACTAAGGTGGCCACGCATAGAGAGCCTGCCCGCCTGGTGAGCATAGTGTGTGTGGGCAGTGTGGTGTGTGTGATGTGTCACTCTGAGTTGTGGACTCTGTCACATTCTGTTTCCTCATAAACTAGAGCTAAATTGCCTCAATCTTTGATCAGATGCCTCACCCAAAAAATCAAAGAAGAAAGAACAAAAGAAAAAAAAGGAAGGAAGAAGGCAAGGAAGAAAAAAGGAAGAACTAAGCGAGCCTTGAATATGGTTCGCCCAGTCTGGGAGAGGTGTGGAAACTTCTGGAATCTGCCACTTGCCTGGTCACAGCCTCCACCGGGCTCTTCGGCTGCGACATCTCAAGACAGGAGGCCTGTCTGTTGCAGAATGAGATCCACAGAAGAGAAGACCCCTATAGCAGGAGAAGGGCAAGGGCTGCAAAGCTGTCACCCTGCCGCTGCCCACGGCCCCACCGCCCCTGGGCCAGTGTTGTCAGACTGCTCTTGTGCCTTGTCTGTTCTCCCCTAGGTAGCGGCTCCCGGCAGTTTTCTGCTGACTCTTGGGATCTTACTAAACCACTCTTTTCCTGGTGACTCCCCGTATCCCACCCGTGCCCCTTGATCACCTGTCTGCACCGCCAGCCTCCTCACACATACCTGGGCGCTGTCACTTCAGATGCCGCTTCTCACCATTAGTGCAGATCTGCCCACACTGGAGTAGGGGCGTCCATCCCCACAGCTGCGTGTGTGGGGACAGTACCGTGAGTTCTCCTGTCTCACGGTTGGAATTGGTCAGGGGAGCCAAGCACTGTGCCCCATGCTGCAGCTGGCTTGTCCTGCGCTCTGGGACCAGAGGCCCCAGGGGCTGAAGGCCTGTGTTACTTGTCATTTTTCAGACCTGTCTGTGGGGATGCTCACACAGAGTGGCTGTGACAAAGTAGTAAAAGTGCTTATGAGCCTAAGCTGTCTTGTTAGCTTTAGGGTACTTCCAGGTGGGAATTTTAACTTTCCTGTTTTCAAAAGTCGAATGTAAAATCTTTCAGTATGCTTCAAATTCTAAAAACTTGAGAGAAGGCCTCCTCCGTAAACAATGAGTAGCACTGTGTTCTTCTGTTTTTTAGGTCGTGTTTTTTGTTTGATAACAGTACTTCTAATCCAAAAGGAAATGACATTCATTTATATTTGTATCAGAGTGTTTTATGCATAAAGCTTACGGCAACACAGAATTAAAAGATTTACGGTAAGAACAAACCCCCCTCACCCCTTTGGCAAAGCGTTTTTCTGTCCTGCTGAGGGAACGCTCAACTCTTTTGGCAGCTTTTGGCTTTTGCTGCTAGATTTATAAATAAATAAACATACCCTGTTATTTCTTGATTTGCCAAATTTAGACGCTGTCTAGGAATTATTTACCTCTTTGGTAGATTATTATTTTCTCTCTCTTATATCTTCCTTCTCTCTCCCTTTCCCCCAAAATAGCTATATCGTTTATGGTTGAAAGCACAGAGTTTCCATAATTTCAAAAATACAAATGCCTAACTGTTGTTTATTACTAAGCCATAATTGCATTTTCCTTCTTATGCAATTTCCCCCCACTTAGGGGATAATAATTCTTTTCATCTGTTTAATTTTATTTTTTAAAAGTCTCTGGCTGAGTCCTTCCATACTCTTACCCACTGTTACCAGTACGTCATAACGTCATTTTCCACGGGTCAGTCTTTTTGGGCAGCACGCCCATTCCCAGTTTCCATGGTGCCATCCATTCTGGAAGCCAGGCCTCGCTCTCTGACCAAACAGCCACGTGGCTGTCATCCCCTTTTCTGGGCATTCCTGGGCATTTCCTTGGCCTTCTCTCCTGGAGCCCTTGTTTCCCTGCTTCCCTGCCTTCCTCTTTCTGTTTACTGTTACAAGATGGGGAAGGATATCTCTTTGTGGTTTCTAAGACTTGGTACATCTGAAAATGTCTTTTCTGTTCTCATACTTTGTTCACAGCATAGCTTGACATACAGTTCTTTAAAAAAATATTTTCACTCAGAATTTTGAAGGCATTTTTCTATTTTTTTCCACTCAGATTATCAACTTCTGTATACGAATTATTTCTCTCTCTGGAAGCTTTTAAGGGTCTTTTTATCCTTGATGTTCTGAAATTTCATGAGGTTAAGCCTTATTTGAAGTGATCTTTTAATATTATTATTATTATGTTTATTTTATTTTTGAGAGAGAGAGCACGAGTGGGAGAGGGGCAGAGAGAGAGGGAGACACAGGATCTGAAGGAGGCTCCAAATCTGAACTGTCAACACAGAGCCTGATGCAGGGCTCGAACTCATGAACTGTGAGATCATGACCTGAGCCAAAGTCGGACGCTTAACTGACTAAGCCACCCAGGTGCCCCATTTGAAGTGATCTTTTAAAATTCATTGTGCTGCACTGTGCATGTTAAATTCCTGGTTTTGATATTGTAATTATGCATGATGTTATTAGGGGGAAGAGGGTCAAGGGTACATGGGACATTCCTGTATTATCCTTGCAGCTTCCTGTGAATCTATAATAATTTCAAAATTAAAACTAAAAAAATATATAAATAGTAACATCATGGAAAATGGTAGAGGTGGGTGCTCCAAGAATCTGTCCCTCCACTGAAACAACCAATAAGCTGGCAAAAAATAACAGAATCAACTTTTGTAGAACTGTGGATTCTAATAGAATACTTCAACCAGGGGAGCATTTAATGAATCCTGATTAATCTACCCTGCAGATTTTGGACTTGCCAGCCTCCATAATTATGACCGCTAATTGCTTAAAATAAATCTGTGTCTATATTTACACATTCTATTGGTTCTTTCTGGTTCTCTGGAAACCCTAACTAATACATTATTAGAGCTAAATTGGTATTGATTCAAATTATATTTTTCTGAGTTTAAGATGTTAATTATAATCACCAGGGTAACTAATAAGAAAATAACTAAAAAATATCCAGAAAATAAAAGGGGAATGAAAATGGTACACTAAAAAAAAAAAAAAAAAAAAAAAAAAAAAAAAAAAAAACCCAACACAACAGACGAAGATGGAAATAATTCAGGAACAGAAAGTTTTGGAACTCAATAGAAAACAACTAACCGTGTAAAAAAAAAAACCAAAAAACAACTAACAGTGTAAAAAGTTAGTGCTTCTTTAACAGTAATTACTTTAAAAGTAAATAGATTAAATTCACCAGTTAAAGGACAGAGATTGGCAGAATAGATGAAAAAACATGATCCTACTATATATGCTGTCTACAAGAGACTCACTTCAGATCCAAAGACACAAATGGGTTCAATGTGAAAGATGGAACAAGATATTCCATGTAAATAAGAACCAAGAGAGCTGGAGTGGCCATGCTCGTATCAGACACAATCTACTTTTGGTCATTATAAGAGACAAATAAGGACATTATATATCAATGAAAGGGTCAATTCATCAAGAAGATAAACGTTATAGCCATTTACACACCAAGCTACAGAGCCCCCAAATATATGAAGGAAACATTAGCTGAACTAAAAGGAGAAATAGTTCTACAATTATAGCTGGACACTTCAATAACCCACTTTCAACAATGGGCAAGACACCTAGACAGAAGATCAATAAGGAAACGGAGGACTAGAACAACACTATAAACCAACTTGACCTAACCTATCCATAGCACACTTCACTCAACAGCAGAGTACACATTTTTCTCAAGAACACATGGATTATTCTCCAGGATAAACCATGTGTTAGGCCAAACACCAAGTCTCAATAAATTTAAGAGGACTGAAATCACAAAATATCTTTTGTGATCCCAATGAAGTGAAATTAGAAATCAACCATAGGGGCACCCGGGTGGCTCAGTTGGTTAAGCATCCGACTTAGGCTCAGGTCATGATCTCATGGTTTGTGAGTTTGAGCCCCGCATCAGCCTCTGTGCTGACAGCTCAGAGCCTGGAGCCTGCTTTGGATTCTGTGTCTTCCTCTCTCTCTGTTCCTCCCTCCCTCTCTCTCTCTCTCTCAAAAATAAATAAACATTAAAAAAAAACAAAAAGA